AATACTGAGCTGAATGAAACCTGGAAGTTAGACGACATTGTTATAGTTAATAATTTCACCCCAAAGAAAGTGAGAAAGACGCAAATGGGGTTAACAGATATTAAAGCGAAGGAATCTGGGAAAAACGGTACCGAGAAAAAGAGAACATTCAAAAGAAGAGGATTGAAGGAGGCGGAAGATGATGTCCGCCGATGTATTTAAATCTTTGAACATGAGACTGCAATACACATGGCACAGTGGATAAAGGCGTTAATTAGATCCAATGACAGGACCCAAAGAGTGTGAGTTCAATACCTGATTAAGGCAGTGGAGATCTTGTAGAGACCTTTTTGCCAATCTACTACTGCCTAATTTTTTAATTCCTAAAGTCTAGGTACCAGAGCGTAGAGCGATATTTATTTTGTAATAAATTACAAAAGTGTGGCACAAGGCCAAAAGGGGATGGAGGAATGCTGTTCTTCAAGGAATGCAAGGGGGTAAACAGATATTAAAGCGAAGGAAACAGGGAAAAACGGTACCGAGAAAAAGAAAGAAGAGGCTTGAAGGAGGCGGAAGATGATGCCCGCTGTTGTATTTAAATTTTTGAACATGTGACTGCAATGCAAGATTCTGGAGGAGAGTTCCACATTAGAAATGGGAAGTGGAAGAGAAGAAAATGTTAGAAGAGAACTTACGCTACATTTAGCAATAGCAAGAGTAATATGATGACATCTGTCTGCCAATGTAGAACCCCGCTGAAATTCATAAGTCGAGGTACCAAAGACGAATAGGATATTTATTTTGCATTAAAATACAAAAATGTCGCACAAGACCAAAAGGAGGGATGGAGAAATGCTGGTCTTCTTTTGTTCCATAATTAAACTTTGCTAGCCACAAACACTGGCTCAAACATACCACAATGTTCCTTACACCAAAACAACACATTCTTACATACCATTATCACTACATCCACCATAATACCTCAGAATATCCATGAAGTCCTAACTAGTTGCCATATGTACAATGCTTGTCTGCTGTTCAAAAACAAAAATTTTAAAATCTAAACCCCAGTGTGTATTCACAATGATTTAAGTTATTTGCAAGAAACTAATTAAAATAGTAATGAAATACAATCTTTACCATAAAGAAGAGCTCATCCAAACAATTACCGTGTAAGTATTTATAGAAAAATGCACCGGGAAGCAAATTTATGTTGGTGGGAAAGTGACTGAAGTCAGGCCAGGACCAATAATATTACTGATTCTTCTTTGGATTTTATCAAGAATCTCTAAATAAATAGCAAAAGCACCAGACCATATGTGGCAACAATATTATAAGCATAGGCGAACGGTAGACATAGATATTTAAGATAGATTCTAGAGAGAAAAATTGTCTCGCACGACACAGTGAACCAATATTCTTAGCAGCTGATCTAGCAATTGATTCAATGTTCTATTCTTAACTATGTTTCATATTACGTTTAAATCTGTGTCCTTATTTAACTCATCATGCAGTCATATAATATATGATTTACTATTGAATTAATATGTTTTATAATTCTACATATTATGTGACGCATTAGCAATACTCAACCTTATATGTATTGCATATAATTTGAACGATATCCATAGATTACGTCCACTACATTGTATGAATAATGATTCAATCGTTGAATGATATGGTTGTTACGTTTTAATCCGTTATTGATGGGATTCATCGAACACTAAGATAGTATAGGATTTAATTCTGTTTTCCATTGATTTCTTTTAATTCATTATTAAATGTCAGATCGGCAATAGTAGTAAAATTCGATCAGCGAAATTGTATCATAATTTTATCTTCAAGAGACCATTTTATCTTCAAATGTTTATATTACTAAGAAATGTTAAAATTATTACCTATAATTTTAATTTAAATATCGTTGAATTTAATAATGGCTTTTTAAAAAGTTATATATTTTTAATCGTTTCAAACCAATCAAGGCGACAATGCCACTACGACGCAGGGGGTTACAAGGAGTGAAAGAGAATACGAATACTTTAGTGAGAAGTGAGGAAAAGCAGAAAATAATGACACAATCAAGATGTTGACATTCCACACTAATTCAAATAAAAAGTTAGGAAGGAAACCCCCGTCAATACTGGAAAGAGTTATAGCAGCTACTTACCTTTCAATCAAAAGCAGTATTGGCTGCTCGGTCAATGAATGCTAAATGTTTAGAAATTAGCTTCCTCTAACAGAATAATTTCTTATTTATAAAGCTTAGTTTAGTCGAGTCAATATTAAACTTAGTGAGTCGAGTAAATATTAAACCTCGTATAGATACAATCCTTTAACACAAACGACGATTACCCACAGAAAATATGTATATATTCGGTTGGAAAAAATGTTATTAATGTTTTTCAAGAGTTTTGTTTTGTCACGGGATTTCGTTTCACACGTGACTGACTTATATATACATATTTTGAAAGGTAATGTTTCAAGGCGACTTTCTATACATTTCATGTGTGGATTTTCAATTTTAAATATTTTTATGTTAAAAGCGGAAAAAGCGAAAACAAGATGCGTCTGATGATATTTTTTTTATTTCGAAAAGAAAAACGATATACAACAGCACGGAAAATATGTGCCGTTTATAGACATGGTGTCATAGCTAAGAATACTGTTCGTAAGTGGCTCTTTATGTTCAGTAATAGAAATTTTGATCTGAAAGATTGAGAATGTTCCGGCACGTTTGCAATGACTAAAACGAAATTCTGATTAAAAAGTAATCGAGATCACACGGCACGGGATATCACAACGGTACTCCCCATAACTCAAATGAGCGTCGTTAAACATTTGAAAACACTTCGGTCGGTGAAGTGCTACGATGTGTGGTACTTTCATTTGCGAGTTGCTGCTCAAACGCAACAAATACGACTCTCTTTTTAGAACGATCACAGGCGATGAAAAATGAATCGTTTACAACAATGTGGAATGGGAAAGTTCTTAGGAAATGAAAAATAAGTTAGTGTTAATCCTTCCAAAATCCAGCTGCATCTGAAGAAGGTGATGCAATATTTGGTATAATTGGAAAGGCATTATGCATTACGAACGCCTACAAAATCAAACGCTGAGATCGATTAAAGGCGATAATCAAAAAGCGTCGGGAAGAATATTGTCTTCAGTCAGGACAATACTAAACCTCAAGTCTATTTACAGAACCGACAGAAACTGTTACACCTTAGTTGGAATATCCTGATACACCCGCTATTCTCATTTAACCTTGCACCATCAGAGAACCACTGTAAAGATTCTTGACAAAATCCAAAATAGGATCTGTAATGTAATCGACGCTGACCAGGCATCTCGATTTCAATCACTTTCTTACCGACGTGAAGTGACTTACCTCTGTTTTTTCTACAAATATTTTTATGGTAACTGCTGAGCATTTTCTCTGTTGCACCACATATATGAATCTATGCGTACTATTAGATTGTCGTTGAGGTCCCACTGTTTTACTGTTGAACCCGCTACTTGCAATCGCCCGTTCTACACTAACCGTTTTCTTTTCTCGCCTGTGGAACTCACTTCTGGTTTATTATAACTACAATCTTCAAGAATATAAATGCAATGTTAATCGCCATATTCTGTCTTCTTGAATCCTGTTCCTCTTTTTACCGTTTCCTCAATCCTCGCCAGTTTCAATCTTCTAATTTTCTTTCACTTTCACTTCTTGTAATCTCCTAGCATCATTACTACCTTGCTTGTGGTGAAATGATTAAAAAAAAAGTTATTTCGTATTCTGTAGGGGCAGTCTACAAGATATGATAAATGACTGCCTTCAAGCGAAGGAATGCTCTATGTCTAAAGCTTAGACGATACGTTTGCTTAAAACTAGTGATCTGTGACAATGGTTGTATACAGACGAAGGTTTGGACATTTCTGAAAGAGGTGGTCGCCATACATCTATATGAAAGTGGAGATCTGACGAGGCTGTGAAACCATAGAACACTAACCATGGGTATTATATACCCAGCGCAAATTTTCCTATTTCTATTTACAATTTTCAGTACCGGATAATGTTTTTCAGTTCCTATTAATGTTAACTCAAAGTACAACGTTTGAAGTGCTTGCATGTAAAATATTTCAAATAAAGATTTATATTTAATATTTTTTTTTTGATATTTTCGAAATCGAGTATGATATACCCACGGTTAGTAGTGGTGTAACTTTAATTGATGGTTAGTGTTCTAGGGTTAAGAACTTAGACAATATGTTAACCATAACACAATAGACTGTATCTTTAATAACAAGCCTGTTACTACACCATAGCTATTTCTCTTGGAAATGTTCAGATGAACTCCAATTTTAAGTTTCACGAGTTCAGTCTTTTACACCTGGGACTTGCCATGCTGCTTTCGCGGAGTCGAATCACCCTCATTTCTCCCATATTGCAAATATAAGAAAGCCCCACTGAAAAGATTCCTACAAGGGTGCTTCAAATCATGTCAATCTTTAAACAGCTTCTTAATCCTCATAATCTTATTTTCCTATTATTTTCATTCTTATCGCACGCTATATTCACCATTATCATATTGACTGTAATTGAGAGGCTCGCGAACCTTGGATTGGGTTAATTCTTGTATAAAACAAATTTATGTATAAGCGAGAAATATATCCGTACTTATATGAACTTCTGTATCTGTTAATTTGGCGTTTATACATTAGCGTGCATGTCTGTCTATGCGCATATATATACATATATATATATATATATATATATATATATATATATATGTGTGTGTGTGTGTGTGTGTGTGTGTGTGTATGCGTGAAAGGATGTGTCCTCAGTATCAAGTGTGAGTGAGATATTAATTTATATAAACAGGCGGCACAATAAAAAAAAAATGACAACGTAAAACAGCAAAAAAAGCGGCGAGAGAGAAAGAATGAAATGGCGGACAGGAGAGAAGGTCTTAAAAGGTCCCGAGGTGATCACATTTAATGTTAGATCAAAATTTTCTGTCAAACTGGATTTGTCATCGTCTGACAGTTGAAGAACAAGAAGCAAAAACGGTGAGAATGGGGAAGGAAGGAAGGAAGGAAGGAAGGAAGGAAGGAAGGAAGGAAGGAATATAAGAACGAATAAAGCAACCTAGGAAAAGCGAAACGAGTAGCAAAGGAAGGAAGGAAGGAAGGAATCCTGGCAAAGTATTGAAGGAAGGAAGGTTGAAAAGCAGGAATGAGGGAAGAAGGGATATAGATAAAAGAAAGATAAAATTAAGGAAGAAATAAAGAGTAAAGTAATAAAAGTGAAGAAAAGAAGGAAATAAGAACAGAAGACAAAAAGAGAAGCATGAATGAAAAAAATGAAGGAAAGAAGAGAAAAGAAAAAAAAACGAAAGAAAGAACCATAAAATAAATAAAAAAAATAGATGAACGAAAGAACGAAAAGAAGAAAGTGGGAAAACAATCCAAAAAAAGCAGATGAGAAAGAAAAGAAGAAATAAATAATGAAAAAAAGCATAAAGAAAAAAAAAAAAAAAAAAAAATGTAAAGAAGCTGGACGAAAAGATGAGAGAGAAAGAAGCACAAGACGGAGGAAGATTAATTGAGAGAAGGGACGAAGAAATAAAGAAAAGTGGGGAGGAAGAGAAAAATAACAATATAGATAAGTAGTAGCGAAGGTAAGAAAAAAGAAGAAAACTTGGGAGGAGTGGAATCATGAAAAGAAATAATGAAAGAAGAGAAAAACGAGAAAGAAAGATTAATAAAGCATAGAGAGACAAGCGTAGAAGGTAGAGTGAAAGAATGATAAAAAAGGAAAGAGAGAAGATTGAAAAGCGTTAATTGTAAAAAAGAGAAAGAAGTCAGAAAGAAAAAAAATCAGTCTAAATAAACAAAGAAAAGTAAAAGAAGGAGAGGACAGAAAAAGAAGTAAAGAAAAATAACCCGAAGAAAAAAAAATGAAACGAAAAATGGGGAACCTAGATCAAGTAAAAGAAAAATTGAAGAAAATGGTAACAGAAAGAAGAAAATGAAATATGTGGAAGAAAATGAGCCAAGTTAAGGAAAGAAAATAAAATCAATGGGACGAAAAATAATAAAGATATTATAAAAGTGAAAAATAAAAGAAAGAAAAAAAAATGTTTTTTTTTTACCAATTAATTATAAAGATATAAATGATAGTGTTTATAGATCAAAGGCGACTGGCTAAAAAGTTTACTTTGGCCAGAGCTGAAACCTGAAGATCAAGCAAAATTAAATAAAGTAACTTAATTTAAAAGAATGATCAATAAACTAAATAAATAAAAGAAAATCTGAACTTTTAACAGCGACGTGACCAGGCTTTTTTGAACTCTAAATCTTCAGTTCCAAATTAAATTTATTTTATAAATGTCAATCTAGGCAACTTTGAAACAATGTGAATAAAAAATATATCTCGTTTAAAGTACTCTTTCTGAATCAAGAGAAAAAAAACACATTCTAATGGTTAGAGCGTTGTATTTAACTCCATGAGGTCTACGGGAACATATGTCTTTGATGGAGAACTAAAAATGGCTGTTAAAAGTCGATCGATAAAAGAATTGGAGTACCAAAAATTTAACAATGACGACGATTGAAAAAGATCACGGTGGAGTAATGGATAGCGGCTCTGGTAGAGGAATCGGAGAGCCGAGTTCGAATTCCAGTCGAATCCGTTATATTCACTAACGTGCTAATACCATAGGGAAAATTATGAATCCTGTCCTTAATCCCACCCAACCACGCAGGACTGTTCTTAACCACGCAGGACCATAGCAGGACAGACCAGGTTCTAGCTGGTTCTACCGCAGAAAGAAACACAATCTGCTGGAAAAAAAAATCTGCCTCACCAGACATGTATCGAAAGATACATGATCACCTAAGCGTGTATAACGCATGGCACATAACTGACTGACTATGCGCACTCATTAGAGTATGGAAGGTCTTTTTGAGGTCGACCAAGAAATCTCAAGTAGAATCAAGAATTTCCTCGTAATTCCTTTATTTTACAGATCTGAAAATATCTCTTTCAGATCAACTTCTCAGATTTTGCGCTGTGTAATAGCAGAAATCTTTGAGCGTAAGGCAAACAACAAAGTCGGTTTTGTTCTTTGTTATTCGAGGGATGTTCGAAAAGTAAGCGCCATTTTTTCATAAATCGATCGGAATTAAAACATTATGAAAACTGTAAGCAAAAAGATCTAAGGGGGTATGCAGTACTTCTTGGAACACCTAGAATAGCCTGAACATTGCGCGCCTGCGTCTGTGACGTCACAACAAAGATGATAATCGTCTCAAAACAATAGACAAACATAGAAGGGGGGGTGTGATACGATTACTTTCATGCTAAGAGCAAGACCAAAGCAGTTGAGTGCTGAATACAACTTGCAGTACATAGGCAATGATTTCGAGGATTGCAAGACAGGAGGACTCCTTTGGTAACAAAGAAAAGAGTACTGATCTGTTGCGTGATATCTGTCTTTCTTTATGGCAGCAAATGTTGGACGGTCTCCTCAAAGATGAAGGCGACGGAGATGCGGTTCTACAGAAGGATGCTAAGGATATCATGGACCGAGCGTGTGAGCAACGATGAAGTCTTAGGATGCAAACAAGGAGGATGTTTATAGTTAACATCAGAGGGAGCTGAAGTTTCAGGGACACGTAATGAGAAAGGAGGGCCTGGAGAATCTAATATTCACAGGTCGAATAGAAGGAAAGAGAGACAAGGGAAAGCAATGCATGACATACCTGGCGGGCTTAAGCAAGTGAATGACAGGATGTGGTCTGGGAAGACGTTAGAGGGACGAATCTTATTGGGAGCTACAAGGGATAAGGTGAAGTGGAGAGCCATGATCGTCTACGTCCTGAAAGGACATAGCACATAAAAAAGAAACGATAGGGGAATTGAATGGGAAATTCTGGAGTATAAAAAAACAAATAATGCAGTCTGAGTGCATAACGCTAACTTGGAGAAAAAAAGGTGATTCTATGTCACCTAAGACCCCAAAGTCACTGACATTCCAGTAAGCTAAGAAACTACTGATAGCAACTGTGTTCTGAGACTTCCGTGACAGTGTACTACTTGGATGCTTCTTACCGGATTTTCAGATAGTCGATTCAGTCAGTAACTGTTAAATACTATTTAGACGAGAATACGTTACCTGAAAGAGACCAGGGCTTTTTTGTAAAGGTGTTATCTTACTGCAATCACAATGCCACCTTAATACACGGCGAAAATGAAAAAAAAAACAGTCACCAGCTTTACGTTTGTGATGCCTTACTGCATCTAGTAAATTGTTCTGACTTAGACAACTTCCAGGGATATGACTCGTTCCGTCTTCTCAGGCAAACCTTCTCAGCTGACATGAAGTAGAAAGGCTAGATTGAATCCATTGCTAGGTTAGCTGCTAAGAAGTTGGTTCACTGTGTCGTACTAGACAATTTTTCTCTCCAGAATCTATCTTACATGTTTCATTAAGACGGATTATATATAAGGGTGTTTCATTGAGACAGATTTTATATAAGGGTGTTTCATTAAGACGGATCAAAATCAAAAGTAAATAAATCAGTGTTATTGGTGAAAATTTATTTATTTCTCTTTTGAATCATGTTATTTAAGTCATGGCAATTATGTCTGAAAAATAATATCAACCAATTTTCCGCTAAATCTGAAAAAAGAAAAAATCATTACTCTTAAACTTAATTCACATTAAAATATATATATATATATATATATATATATATATATATATATATATATATATATATATATATATATCGGTAGCGACTGCGTATTCTATGCAAGATATATCGATGATATATTCTTTGTATATATACGGGCAGTGACGACAAACTTATCCAATTCCCCATGACCCTAAATACAGTGCACGACTCAATTAAGTTTGACTATGAAAAAATCCACAACATCAGTAACATTTTTAGAGACCCGCATTTACATAGATGAAAACAGGAAACTACAAACGACACTACACACTCAAAATCACCGACACCCACAACCATCTACACTTTAAATCTTCCCACCCTAAACACCTCAAAGAGACGCTTCCCTATTCACAAGCACTTAGACTCAGAAGAACATGTTCCACCAATGAAGAACTAAATTGAAAATCTGGAGCATCAATTCACAACACGTGGCTATAAACAAAACCTAATCAGGGAACAAATAAATAAAGCAATTTCCACACCTAGAGAAGACACCTAATGTACAAAATTAAAAATAAACCCAGCCGCATCCCTCTAGTGACCACTTGAGGAATCTAAATGAAATAATAATAAAAACGAAAGAATATTAATATACAACCCAATGTGTCTGAATATTTTAATATTTTTTATATTTTTATTGTTCAATATATATATATATATATATATATATATATATATATATATATATATCTTATCTCCAGAATTTATCCTACATATCTACTCCCACATATAGTCCAGTGCTCTTGCTATATATTTAGAGTTTCTTGATAAAATGCAAAGAAGAATGTGCAATATTATTGGATCTAACCTGGTGTATCGGCTTCAGTCGCTTTTCCACCTCCATAATGTTGCCTCCCTGGGCTTTTTCTATAAATACTTTCATGGTAATTGTTCGAATGAGCTCTTCATTATGGTACATTATATTGTTTAATTTCGTGTAAATAGTTTTGTTTTCATATTGTATATACTCATTGGGGCTAGTTTTCAAATTGTTGTTTTATTCCCCTCCCCGTCACGGACAATGTATTGTACATATGAGGACTAGTTAGGACTTTCATGGAGACAATGAGGTATTATGGTGGATGTAGTAAGAAAGGTAAAAATGCGTTGTTTTGGTCTTAGGAATATTATGGTATGTTTGAGCCAGTGTTTGTGGCTAGCTAAGTTTAAAGTTAAGACAGATGAGGACCGTCCTTTTCTCCATCCCCCATTTTGGCCTTTTGCCGCATTTTGTAAATAATTACAAATAAATACCGCTCTTCACTATGGTAGCTCGACCTTTAAGAATTTAGGCGCAATACTTGACTGACGGTGATGTTTTATCAGCTTAGAGTTGAGATGGCTAGATGTAAACCTAAGTCCTATGCTAACAGGTTTTTTTCTCTCGCACTTCTCACTTGTGGACCTCTCTTTCGGTTCTATGCTTTCCAGCCAACTCTAATCTTCAAAAACAATCCCAATCGTTGTCTACTGTCTTACTTATTACTCTTTTATTGTTCTCTATCCCTAGTAATGTTTCTGTCTTCTCTCTCACATCCAGGAACACCTTGTGTCTTAGAGGCTTTATTGCCTTGCTTGGAGTGAATCCGATTAAAAACATGAGAAAAAAATCAATCCCACACTGATAATGCAGAGTTGCAAGAGTGATTCCTCTAGCTTCAGGACTCGTTCTTCGAGGAGCGTAATTATACGCTTGTGCACGGATAGGACAAATGCAAGAATCTAAATGGCGACTACGTGTGAGTAGCAATTTAATTTTGGTGCCAATATTTTAATTGTATAGTATTAATATTAAACACAGAAAGATGATTTTCATAGGCTAAAAGTATTAAGCAACAAAAAAATTTCGTTAGAAACAACAAAAAAGAGGGCCGAACTGCTATGTTATATCTCCTTATATGGACAATTTCTTCACGGGTTCTACAGAGGGATGCCGAGAATCTTGATCATGTGAGCAAGTAAGATGTTTTAAAGAAAATGGGAACAAAAGGACACTTGTATTTAGAAGCAGATAGCAATTTCAGGAGCCCATAATGAGCAAAGTGGGCTTGGGGAATTTGACATCCACAAGATATAGTGGGGACAAGTGAGACAGCGGGAAACATAGAATAATCAACCTAAAGAGCTTGTGTAAAAAAAAAAAAATGGCAGAATAAAGATTGTGATGGACAAACACTGGTTCGAACAACAAATGATAGGATGCTATGGAGAGCCATGATTTTCTACATCCTGAAGAAGTAAGGCATATGGAAAAAGAAAAAAACAAGTACTAGTAAAGGTTTGCAGCTTACTTTTCGGACATTAATCGTGTCCTTTCGGAATGTGGGCGATCGTGACTCTTCACAACTTCCTATCCTTTTTAGCTCTTAGCAATGTTTGTCTTTTGTCATTGTTTCCATGAACAGTTCCACCATCCATTCACCGTCTTACTTCGATATGTCCTGTGAGTGTCAAAATCTCCAAGTCCTCCTTCCTCACCAGGTATCTAAAAAGCTTCAGCTCTCTCTTTCTGAGTAAAAGTGTCCTCTTTGCTCCCATTTTCCTTAAACTTCTTCGTCTCTTATGTCTTCCATTCATGTTATTCTCAGCAGCATCCTGTAGATCAATATGTCTGTTACCTCCAGTTTTCTCTTCATCTGGGAGGAGATAGTCCTGCATTCACTGTCATATCCGAGTATTGACATTACAGAGTAGTTCAGCACTATTTTCTTTATTTCTAACAAAATTTTCCTGTTTCTTAATACTTTGCTTAGCTTTTGCAAAGCATCATTCCTGTGTACCTTCAGATTTAGCTGTCACATATCCACCCTCTGTTAAAATACTTTCCAAATTTTTAAACTTCTGTATTTGATTTTGACATTTCCAGTTTGTAATTCGCATTATGGGATGATCCTTTTGCAGACAACCATAAATTCTGCCTTTTACAACTGATAGCTGATGCTTTCTTCTGACTTTTCTTTACCCACAATGTCTTGAATTTCCTGTACTCTTCCTTCTGTGTCTACCATCAACACATTGTCATCGGCATATCTTATATTGTTATGATAGCGCCCACAGGTAATAAATCCCGGTTGCATGAACTGAGCGTGTGCGAGCAACGCCGAGGTTTTGTAGAGGATGTAAACAAGGAGAAAGCTTATAATTAACATCGGGAAGAGGCAGCTGAAATTTCTGGGACACGTAATGAGAAAGAAGGGCTTGAAGAATCTAATACTTACAGGTCGAATAGAGGGAAAGAGAGACAAAGGAAAGGCAACGCATGACATACCTGGTGGCCTTAAGCAAGTGAATAACATAACGTGGTCTGAAAATAACATGGACCGAGCGTGTGAGCAACGATGAGATTTTGTAGAGGATGTAAACAAGGAGGAAGCTTATACTTAACATCAAGAAGAGGCAGCTGAAATTTCTGGGACACGTAGTGAGAAAGGAGGGCTTGGAGAGTTTGTTACTCACAGGTCACAGGGAAAGCAACGCATGAAGGGACAAGGCACAAAAAAGAACGGTCTCTACCCCCGCTCCGCACTAGGATGTTACAGTTCTGAAAAAAAAAAAAAAACTTTAACATGAAACCGGTTCCCTTATTTCTTCGCACCGAATACCAGACTCGGTGTTGAGGATGTGTTTTCATTTGCATCTCAGTGGTTTTCTTCCATTAATGTAATTTCCTTTCCTGATCGGATCGCTCATTTCTCTTTTCAGTTTTCTCTTTGGGCTGTTTAAAAAGAAATTGCTTTAGGAATTCAGCTATGATATTATTTTATTGTTTTTTTTTGTCTGTTTTTTTTTTGTTTTGTTTTTTGGGGTTTTTTTTATAACATTCCTTTCAGCTTTCAGCTTTCTCTATCTTTCTTTTCTCACTTTTCTGATATATCGTCTTTTCTCGGCCATTATTTTCTTTTCTTTTTCATCCCTCTGTTTGTTTGATCTTTATTTTTTCCTTTCTTTTTTTTTTCTTTCTTTTATTTACCTTTTTTCATTAATTATCTATTTATTCTTTTTTCTTCTACTTTCCCTTCGTTGTCTTTCCAATTCTTTTCTTTTCTCTTTCTTTATTACATTCTTTCTTTCTTTTCCTTTTTAGTTTACTTTCCTTTTATTTTCTTTCCAATTACTTACCTTTCTTTTCTTTTCTTTCTTACATTCTTTCTTTCTTTCTTTTTTCTTTCTTTTTTTTCCTTTCTTTTCCTTTTTAGCTTACTTTTTTATTTTATTTCCATTTGCCTACATTTCTTTTCTTTTCTTTTTTCATCCTTTCTTTATCTGTTTCATATATATTCCTTTTTTCGTTACTTATCAATCTTTTATTTTTTGGCTAATTTTCATTTCATCTTCCTTTCCTTTATTTTATTTCCAATTCCTTCATATTCTTTCTTTCTTTTTTGTTTCTTTCCCTCATTTATATTCCTTTTGCATTCATTTTTTAATTTTTTTACGCTTACTTTCCTTTCCTTTTTTTATTTTATATTTTTTCCAATTATTTACGTTACTTCGTTTTTTATTCCTTTTATACCCTATTCCTAAATTGTCCCTTTTGGTCTTCCATTTTCTATCCTTTTCTACACTATTTCTTAAATTGTCTCTTTTGGTTTTCAATTTTATATCCTTTTCTACCCTATTCCTAAATTGTCTCCTTTGGTCTTCCATTTTATATCCTTTTCTACCCTATTCCTAAACTGTCCCTTTCGGTCTTCCATTTTATATTCTTATTCCATCCTATTCTTAAATTGTCTCCTTTGGTCTTTCATTTCATATCCTTTTCTACCCTATTCCTAAACTCTCCCTTTTGGTCTTCCATTTTATATCCTTTTCTACCCTATTCCTAAATTGTCTCTTTTGGTCTTTCATTTTATATCCTTTTCTACCCTATTCCTAAATTGTTTCCTTTGGTCTTCAATTTTATATCCTTTTCTACCCTATTCTTAAAATGTCTACTTTGGTCTTTAATTTTATATCCATTTTTAACCTATTCCTAAATTGTCACTTTTGGTCTTCTATTTTATATTCATTTCTACCCTATTCCTAAACTGTCCGAATTGGTCCTCCATTTTGTATTCTTATTCCATCCTATCTCTAAATTGTCTCCTTTGGTCTTCCATTTTATATCCATTTCTACCCTATTCCTAAACTGTCCCTTTTGGTCTTCCATTTTCTATTCTTATTCCATCCTGTTCCTATATATCCTATATATCCTTTTCTACCCTATTCCTAAAATGTCTCTTTTGGACTTCCATTTTATATCCTTTTCTACCCTATTCCTAAATTGTCCCTTTTGGTCTTCCATTTTATATCCTTTTCTACCCTATTCCTAAATTGTCTCTTTTGGTCTTTCATTTTATATCCTTTTCTGCCCTATTCCTAAATTGTCTCTTTTAGGCTTTCATTTTATATCCTTTTCTACCCTATTCCTAAAATGTCTCCTTTGGTCTTTCATTTTATATCCTTTTCTACCCTATTCCTAAATTGTCTCATTTGGTCTTCCATTTTATATACATTTCTACCCTATTCCTAAACTGTCCGCTTTGGTCCTCCATTTTGTATTCTTATTCCATCCTATTTCTAAATTGTCTCCTTTGGTCTTTCATTTTATATACTTTTCTACCTTATTCCTAAACTCTCCCTTTTTGTCTTCCATTTTATATCCTTTTCTACCCTATTCCAAAACTGTCTTTTTTGGTTTTTCATTTTATATGCTTTTCTACCCTATTCCTAAATTGTGTCTTTTTGTCTTTCATTTTATATCCTTTTCTACCCTATTCCTATACTGTCCATTTTGGTCCTCCATTTTGTATTCTTATTCCATCCTATTTCTAAATTGTCTCCTTTGGTCTTCCATTTTATATTTCTACCCTATTCCTAAACTGTCCCTTTTGGTCTTCCATTTTCTATTCTTATTCCATCCTGTTCCTAAATTGTCCTTCTTGGTTTTGCATTTTGCATTCTTTTTCCTTCCTATTCCTAAATTCATTAACCCCCCTCAATCTCTATCCTCCCTTAAATGTACCTTTATCTCATCCCATCTTTTCCGAGTCGTATTCCTTATCCGCCAAATATTATTCTTATCCGTCAATTAATCTTATGACTTGCTAGTTTTCCTTTTTCTTATTTTACTTCTCACTGTATCTCCCAAATCCCCAAGATTTATTCTCCCCAGTAACAGCTCTTCAAGCCAATCACGACTCTTTACTCTCTCCATTTCTTCTATTACTCGTTCTCTCTTTCTTTCTCTAGCATATTCTTATATATACGTGTTTTATTCTGTACCAGGTTCTATCTTCCATCGTGATTTCATCCACAACCCAACGCAAACGGTAACCCCTCTCTCTATCTCTCCCCGCTCTCTCTCTCTCTCTCTCTCTCTCTCTGCATAGTCTCTTTTGTTTCCCTGTTCAATCCCTTCTTCGCTCTGATACTCTCTTCTACATTTTACTTCTCTTTACCGCTTTCTTATATGATTTTTCTTTCTATCATTTTCTTCACTTTTCTTTTTCCTTCCTCAGTATACAACGTCTTCCTTTCTTCGTTTCCACTTATCATTTCATATTTCTATTTGTCCTCTTTCTATTAAACTTTCTTTCACATTATCCATTGGCACTCTTTCTTTTCTTTGTTTTATCGAAATCTTTTTTACGTTTCTTTCCTGTCTTTTGGATTTTTTTTTTCGTTCTACATTTAAGTCACATATTTTTAGATATTGCTTTATACTTTGATTGTTAATTTTCTTCCTTCTTTTTTTTTTTTTTTTTTTTTTTGTCTTTCAATTTATTTTCACTTTTCTTTCTTTACCCTTTCGCTTTGGTTTTCTTTTCTTTTGTAGGTCTTTCTTTCTTTTTCTCTTTTTCTTTCTTTCTTTCTTTCTTTCTTTCTTTTACACTCTTTCTTTCTTTCTTTCTTTCTTTCTTTCTTTCTTTCTGTCTTTCTTTCTTTCTATGCCGCTAACACTTTTACACCACAGCCGCCCTTCTTCTTCTTCTTCTTCTTCTTCTTCTTCTTCTTCTTCTTCTTCTTCTTCTTCTTCTTCTTCTTTCTTTCTCTCTATTTCCCTCCCACTTTCACGCCACTTCTTCTCACTTCTTCTTCTTCACTTCCTATCCGCCTCGTCAAAGCTCACCCCCGCCAATTCTAAATCCCTTCTGAACTAACCGAGTAATTATAACGGCTTCCCAGTGCAGCTACAATATTAGCAACCATTACCAAAATATATTACATTAGTCGACGCGTTCTGACAATCTGTGGCCGACTAAGCCATTTCGATCCGAGAAGATTCAGTCAAGCTTGTAATTCTTCATTTCGAGGGTTCATTTTCTTGCCCATTGACAAGATCTGTCCCTTTGCAACCAGAAATAAAGATAAGAGAGAAATAGCGGAAGGATAAATGAAAGAGAAGACAATGTCGAGTTTTCTGCTTTCTCGATCAACTTTTCCTGACAGCCAACAACGTCGAATAGTGGGTGGATAAGAACCGCTTACAAGATTGAAAAGTGTCCGTTTGGATGTTTCTTGATAATCATTTGTTTATCCTGAATTTGCTGCCTTAGTTGTAGTTTTATTTTTCTTCTTCAACGGATTTTGATTAAGTTTTTTTCTTTCATATTCATTCAGCCATTTTGTTTCTCTGCTTGTCTGATTCTCAGCATCTTTAACACTTCTTCGCCTAAATCTTATATCTATTCTTTTATTCTATTGTTTATTCTTTTATGTATTCCTTTATTTACTTTTTACTTTTTTGTTTATTCTTTTATTCCAATAAACCTTGTCCTTTTTATTCTTTTAATCCATTTCTTTTACTTGTTTATTCTTTTATTTATATTGAATTTATTTCCAACATTTTCTTTTCTTACACTTTCCCGATCTAAATAAATTTATTACATTTTCTTTCTTTTTTTCTGCTTTTCTTTCTTTCTTTCTTTCTTTCTTTCTTTCTTTCTTTCTTTCTCTTTTTCAGTCCTTAGCTTTCTTTCTTTTTTCAACTTTTTTATTTTTTTCATTATCTTCTTTATCTTTCCCTCTTTTTTCCCGTTTGTTATTAGTTTATTTTTCATACAACTCTTTTGTATTCTTTTTCATTGTTTTTCTTCTCTCGCTCTCGTTTTTTTCTTTAAAATTACTTTTCTATCTATCTTTCTTTCTTTCTTTCTATCTTTCTTTCTTTCTTTCTTTCTTTTTACATTATCTTTTTCTTTCTATTTCTTCTTTATTTTTTCGCTTTTTTCACTGGTTTATTTTTCACTGATTTATTTTTCACATAAATTTATTCGGAAGAAGATATTGTTTTCTTTCTTTCTTCTTCATTATTTTTTCTTTGTTACATTTTCGTATCCTCCTATTTTTATTTTATTTTTCTTTACAATTACTCACATTTCTTTCTTTCTTTTTTTCTTTCTTATTCATTAATTTATATTTGTTTCTGTTTTATTACATTGCCTACGTTTTTTTTTTTCACTACAAGTATTTACATTTCTTTCTTACTTTAAAATTATATTCTATCTAAGATAGCGTAGCCTTAAGAACGTTTCAATGGAATATATCACCGTTCCGCATGCACGAAAACACGAGCTAGTTAAACGCATGCGAACACAGCTATCTTCTATGTTTTGCCAAGCGTAGATAAGACGAAATAACTATAACTGTTTATATCATGCCCATATTTAGAGAGAATGTTAATTGTCCGATATTCAAACTAGAGTTCTATTGACTAGATTTCCTTATTCGAAGAAAATGTATTTACTTCTAAATCAGTAGAAAAAAAAATCTATATCGGTTTTGGTCAAAGCGATACTTAACCTAGGCCTCTACGTCGTGTTTAGATCTTCAGTGGCTGGGAGCGAACATTTAACACGCGAAAAATTATTGCTGGAATTGAATTCAGAATTTTTTTTTTTAAAGAAATGTTTACTTTTTCCCATTGGATTAAATTAAGTTTACTATTTACGTTGCTGAAATAAGTGCAATGTTTATTCATTTTATTTGAATTTGCATATTTTCTCTTTAAACAAACTTTTTCGGTGCAAAATTCACAAGTGTCATTAAGAAATTTATCACATAAAGTTAATTTAAATTTAATATTTTTCTTCAACAATAACCATATTAATATAAAATCATTTTTATCAATAATTTATGTTTTCTTTAATAAAAAAAACAGGTATTTAAAAAAAACGGATGTTAAATTTTTCTGTTTTTCGTAAATAAATAGAAGACAATAAAAATGTAAAGTTTTTCAATTTTTGAAAAGTGACACTTTGAATTTGTCACTTACAGTTAATATGAAAAATTAAATTCAATAAATTTATAAATATTTTACAACTATTCTTAAAAATATACCACGAAAATGTAAAGAGAAGTCAGTATTTTCTTCTCAATATCGTCTCTCTCTTTTTTTTACAATTTTTGCAAGTATTTTAAACAGCAAAATTCACAAAAAAAAATGTCAATATTAAGAATTTTCTAAACAAAGTTAATTTAATTTTTCTTTACGCTATTATTCTTGATAATAACAAATATATCGATTGTCAAATTCATTTTTAAGGAATACTTTGCGTTTTCATTATAACACATGGAGTATGTTGATACCGTACTTGTAAAGAAACAAAATATGAATGCAATTTTTTCCATTATTATTATTATTCAATTATTAGTTCCTCGAAATCACCATTCTGTATTTTAATGCATTTAAACGTTTGAATAGGGTAAGTGCCCTGTTAAACAAACCTTCTTTCCTCATTATGTGCCCCAGAAATTTCAACTTTCTCTTTTTTTTTAGATTACTTTCTCTTCCATTTCCCTTCAAACTTAATCATTTCTCGCATGTTCCATCCATAGTATTCACCGGATCCTTCTCTACAGACATATGTCTTTTGCCTCAAGTCTCCTTTTCATCTGTGAGAAAGTTTTCCGGCATTCACTAACATATACAGAGTGCGGCAAAAATCCTCCCCACATATACATCCTAGAAATACCTCCCACATAATAGTAAAGCATTAGTGAGATGAAAACACCATTGCCACTAATCTTATCATTATGGAGAAGATATTTCTGGGAGGTATAGTGATTTTCTAAGCGTAGCTTAGGTGTGGCACAAGGCTGAAAATAGGGGGCAACCAGGGAGATTTGAACTCACTACTCGTAATTATTCTAGCTTGTTAACCATTACACCACCTCGATGTGCCCATTTCTGGGAGGTTTATGTGGAAAGTATTTCTGTAGGAGGACTGATATTTCATAACAGTTCCGCACTTTTCTTTGCTTCTAACGAGATTTTCCTGTTTCTTAATACTTTTCTTAGCTTTTAGAAGCTGTCTTTCGATATTTCAATGCGTTTTGGGTTACTTTTCTTTTAAATTTGCTTGAAAGCTGGGATGACTTAGTTCCGTTTTTTCGTTCGTATGTTATCATGTCTTTTTTATGAATGATTGAAGGCACTTCAATTTTATTCATCTTGGAAAGTCACACACTTATCCTAACATCTTTCAAACGTTTCTACAATGTCTTAAAAGCTATCTTCACCTGCTGTCTCTATAAATTTTAATCCCGTATACATTTTGAAATCTCCAGCAGTCGTTTAACCAGGGAGACAATCTGGACTTTAGATGCTGAAAAACATAAACGATGCAGCATTTTTCAGAAAAGAAAAAATAGTAAAATTATTCTAAATGCAAGAGTCACATTGTACACAAGATAAAACAATAACATTTTAATTCCGACTGAGTAACCCCGAGGGAGATTGCGTATTCGTGCGTGCATTGCGCGGATCTGTCTAGCTTACTGCCAGATTGCATCAACACCGAGGAAGGATTTGTCGAGATATTCAAAATGCCTGGGTGATTTCAAGACAGAATCCGTATATGTTGTAGAGAAGGCAATCAGATATCTTACAAATATTGATTTATCTGTGTATACAAATACACATGAATTATCTTAAATATTTCAATTTGCTTTGCTCTTACTTTGTCAAAACATATTTTAATGCAACATATTTTCAACTTTGTTTCTATTAGCCGTGACCATTCTGCCCGCCATCATCATTTCTGTATGAGACTGCAAAATTATCTCAAGTTTCTTTTTTTATTTTCTCGAGATGAAATCGTAAAATACTCAAGCATAATATATGCTTCCGAATGATACAAATATGAACTACAGATCAGATTCACTCTCCTTGCGTTCGTCTAAAAACAAACAAACAAGAATAATATTTTGAAAATCCTAAGAAACAAGAAAGTAACGAAAGGAGCCTGAACTTGAATGCATAGATTCGAGAATTTAATTTGAATAAAATAAATATAAACTAACTGAAC